AGGCAGGACAAGACGCAATGAATGGAAATTAATCAAAGGAGAGAACCAACCTAGAACTAAGGAGACATTTCCTGACAGAACAACTGATCAGTGGAACAACTTGACTCCAGAAGTTGTGAACGCTCCAAAATTAAAAGTTTTAAAGAAGAGACTGGACCACCATTTATATGAAATGGTATAGAGTTTATTCCCTGAGCAAGGGGTTGGATTAGAGGACCTCAAAGGCACCTTCTCTAAGCCAGGAAAACCCAGATCCGACCTGCAGATGCACTCAGCACACAACAAAGCTTGAGTTTGCTGGGGTCCCCAGGAAGGAGCTTTTGCAGAATTCCATCTTTAACTCAGAACAGGCTCTTCTTGCAGAAGCGCAGATGGTAAAAATGACACAGGAAGTATAGGAGACCCTCCACATTTCCAGATAAATCTATATGCTGCCCATCTCACCGATGATAAGAGATGCTTAGTAGGGAGCTTGTGCAGAACTGAACCTTTAACCCAGAAGGGGCTCTCCTTGCAGAGATAAGCGTCCTACGGACCACCTAAAGGAGTGGGGGGGGGGGGGAATGAGTAGCTGAAATCTTGGGGGTTTCCAAGAAGGACGTCTCTCCAGATTCAGAGACTGAGATTACCCAAGCTTGGCTCGGCAGTTCCACCAGAGCCCGTTCAATTCCGCGGTTTCCCTGCGAGGAGCCTATGAAAGAGGCGCTTTCCAAGCCCGGCAGCTGCGGGATAGGTAGGGCCGGCGAAGGAAGGAAGAAGCCGGTTGCAGGATCGGTCCAGCCTTTTGGAGAGGACGCTGCTTCCTGGGAAAGCGGTCTTTCTCCGTGCGAACTTCCTGCCCCCCCCTTTGCAAGGATCGGGCGAGATGCTTCCCCGGAGCTTGCAAAAAGCAATTCGGCTGAATCCAAGGGTCGTTTGTAAAGGGCGCCCTCTAGCGGGTCCTGCGTGCCAAGCCTGCGAGGCGATGGACGGGAAGCGAGGTATTCAGAATAGAATAGAGCTGGAAATGACCTTGGAAGAGCTTTTTTAGATTAGATTAACAGAGTTGGAAGGGACCTTGGAGGTCATCTAGTCCAACCTCCCGCCCAAGCAGGAGACACTACACCATTTCTGACAAATGGCAGTCTCTCCTTGAAACTCTCCAGTGATGAAGCTCCCACCATTTCT